GAGTAGAAGAGATAAAGAAACTATGACAAACTAATTATTGGACCTCCCAAGGAAAAACTATAAGGTGCTAGAACCAGAGTTTCATTAACCTTTCAGTTATTCTGATGCTCACTTTCATAATGGAGAAAGTTGATTAAATTATCTTCACAACAAACAACAGGTTAGTTTAATTGATGCATCATTAGACACACAACACATGATGAGTTTGCTCTAGCTAATAGTTATCTACATCTAATATTTCTTTTCACTAACTATAAATAAGAAAGCAAATTCCACTTGCTTCTGACCTAATCAAAGAATACGTACGGTTTGATTTTTAAAAAGTAAAGATTATCCTTTGATATTGATTCTCTCTTCTTGTTCAGGGATCTCAAATTGAATCTGGCCGGTACCCTTATCCGTATCCAAGTGGGAGCAGCAACAAAAGTGGTAGTTTTATACTAAACCAAATATTCCTAACATTTAAAGCACTATTCAATTGTCAAGTTTGCTAGTTATCTACACACTACAGATAACCAATAATGTACAGTTTAATATGCATGAATCAATATCAAAGGACAGTTTAGTAAGTGGTTCTCAGAATAAACTAGATGACATCCATGAAGTCCTTTTCCTTCCAGCTCCACACAGACTCACAACAACACTTGGAAGTTGGATCATACATTGCCATATGCCTCAAGTTCTTAAACTTTGAAAACTGAACTACCCAAGTGGTAAAAAAATCCAGAAAAGTGGGGAATCTTCAAGTGCCTTTTTTCTCTGTGATCCATCCGCTCTTTCCTTCTTTTTCTTACTGAGCATTGATTGGGCAACCGTATTGGTCAACTAACTACTTATAAAGATTTATATTTAATGTCTTATGACAAGACTCCTTGGAATTACTTGTCTCCAGCCTAACCAGCCCACATGAGATCCAATCTTTCAAATTTGTCTTTTGGATAACCGGCCCAAACAATTCTCATGTGAGATAAAAATCACAAGCCTAAATATTTTCTGCCTCTGTCTTTAAACAGGAGCAAACAAATTACTTCCCAAACCTATCTGGAACCACTGGCTGCATGCTTAAAAGATGTGTTGTTATCATACTTTTCAGATTTTTTTTCAAGGTTTCCACTTAGCCATATAAAATCAATAAATTCCTTTTCTAAAGACTAACTTATCCTACTTGTCTTTCAGGTTTGCTGAAGGATCAAAAACCACAATGAAATATAATATATGTGTGTGTGTGCATCCAGAGATCTAAGTTGCTACTGTTTGTTTTTCTATAATTATCTGCTTGTACGTTCATTTGACCTTTATTGAGCTAATTTAAATACTATGTTTGATAATATAAGTTTAGAAATTTATCTTTAGATTTCACCCGTATATAGTTTTCTTTTGTTACTAGATGTTATTGATTTAAAAACCCAGCCTCTGGTTACGACTTCCGAGTTTAAATCAGAAAAATAAGCAGTAAATAGTCGAAAGACTAAATTTAAATACAAATTCAAGGAAGCAGGTTAGGTGATAGTTGAAGAGAGAACCTGGTTAACTTCTGGAAAAGGAAAAGAACAATCCATCGAGAATCCTTCATCTGAAAATAAGCTAAAATAAGGGGGGGGGGGAATCAAGGCAAAATCACTCTAAATAATTACTCACTTGAAAAGATACAGAAACAGTTCAGAAATAATTGCATATTCACTAGATAAAGTCTCCAACTCCGATCTGATGATAGATAAGACAATTTCAAGAAATAAAATGTGCAACTTCGAGTCTGATCCGATCATAATAGATGCTAATGATTTCGATCATACCTAAAGCGATCGGATTTCCGTCATGAATTTCAAGAGAAACGGAAGGACGGCAAGGCAGAATAATTGACATTTAACGAATGAAAATTTTGGCGGGGAAAGGATGCATCGAATTCGAGACGTTTGGTCTTGTTGCGTGAACTAATTTTCCCAAACCTTTCTTTATTGTTTTACATATAGAAGTCAAAATAGGTTCGACGATTTTGGTAATTTTCTTGTAAACTTACTAAATGTTTTCTTTTCAGTTTTATGTTTTTATATAAAAGCAACTAATTTAATTGAAAAAGAAAATATTTAGAATTACCACGAAGGTTTACAACTATAATCATAAACTAAAACATAATTAAATATTTTTTAAACTCGTTGCTACAACAAACTAGCAACTTGAAATTATACAAGAATTATACAAATAAAATGTTAAAAAATAATCAAATTAAAACAAAAGATAGATACGAATAAATTTGATTGTATCGATAAACGAATCACAAAAAGAGATCAAACTATTTAAAATCACCGACAAACCTCAAATCAGAATGGAGCGACGTGAGAAAACTATCTACAAATCCAAACCATGTATCAAAATTCAATATGAGAGTCTAAAGTAGGGAGGCAAATAACAAAAAAAAAACTAATTTGATTATTAGAGGTGATGTTAAATTCAACACTAAAAAATATAAACAAAAATAACGATTAAATGACTGATAACGTACCAAAAGGCAATGTGTCATAAAGAAAAAGTGTCACAAATATAAATTTATTAAAAACTAAAAATTAAAAGAGAAATCTAGATATGATATAAAAAGTAAAAGAAAAATAAAGAATACAAATGGTTGACGATCAACACTAAGGTGGTGTTTGTTTTTGCAGAGGTAAAATGTATATAGTTTGCGGATAATATGGCAGGCATCTGCAGCAGAAGAGGGACTAAAAGTCTGCAGTCTGCAATACGTTTGTTTTAAGTCTGCAGACTGCTAAAATAAACTGAAATATAAATAAACTGATTTTTTAAACTATACTCAAATAACCATTTTTGCTATTATTTTTAAAAATTATAAAATGTCATTAAATTTAATGAATTATTACAAAATAGTCACTATATGTTGTAATAAATTAAAAGTTCATAATATAATTATTTTATAGTATTTAGATAAATTTATTAATAATTTTATAATCTTTTAATAAATTTAATAAGTATATATTTTTTAAACTTTATTGACGAATAATCATTTGTATATAACTCAACGATATCTAATATTTATTTGAAAAAATATTTAAATAAATATTATACGAATTTTATTATATAAATTATTACATCCACGACTATTAGATTTTGGTTTTAATATTATATCATTTTAAAAATTATTATTAAATCATCGATAATGAAATCAATTTGATTTAATTCATCTGTTTGTTTCAGTTTAAGTAATTGTTAAAAAATTATATTTAATTCTCAATTATTATCGATTCACAAATATATCAATACTCGATTTTATAATATCATTTAAATCATCTTAATTTATTCGAGTGGTACAATTCGATTCTAGTAACATCAAAAAAATATATATATATCTCTATATATACATCATTAGTATTTTTATTTAGAAAAAATATTATTTGTTTTTTATTTATTTATTCTGTATTAAGGGACTTCGTACTTTACCAGAATTAAATGATAAGAATCAGATTTTTCAATAGTGTGAATATTTTTTTTTAAAACATTTATTTTATCTTTTAATGTTAATAATTGTATGTCCCCGTGATTTTCTAAATTTTATATATAAAAAAAGTTTACTAAGTTTAATTGTATAATATTTTTTACTAAGCTTAATATATTTTTTTTCAAATAAAGTATATTAGATATCGTGAATTATATACAAATAATCATTTTCGTCAATAAAGTTTAAAAAATTATAAATACTTATTAAATTTATTAAAAGATTATAAATTATTAATAAATTTATCTAAATACTATAAAATAATTATTATCGAACTTTTTTATAATTTATTACAACATTATAGTGACTATTTTGTAATAATTCATTAAATTTAATGACATTTTATAATTTTTAAAAAATTAATAGCAAAAATGGTTCTTTGAAGAGGTTAGAAGAGCTTTGAAGACATAAGTCCACGTCTGCGCCAAGAAGAGGACGCACATTAGAAGAGTTTATGTCTTCTAAAACAAACAGTCTGCGAAGCCCAATGTCTGCGTCGTCTGCGCGGCGCGGACATAAGAGCTTTTGAATACCTTAAACAGTGAAAACAAACACCACCTAAGATTGTGTGATCGCTTTCTTACTGATAGAAAAAGTAAAAGAACAAACTATTGAAGAATAAAATATAATTAGAAACCATTAAATAACTTAAATGATAAAAGAAAATATTTTTTTTCTTTTACATTTTTTAATTTTTTAATTAATTATATGATATGTATCTAAATTATAAACCATTCAAATTATGACAACTTATACATTGGAAAAAGTAAAAGAAGTTAAATCGAAAAGGGTTAAATACCCAAAAGAAATAAATGGTGGATGTGCAATGGCACTTAAAATCGCAAAATTTTGACGGTGAACTTAGGCTACATAATGAAAATAAAAAAATCAACATTGCTATACGACATAGATCTTGATTTCTTGTCCCTTGTAAATATCCTTCAACTGTTCCACATGTTAAATTAATGTGTTTGTTACTGCATTACCGTTTTCTATCAGTCTGGTAACTAATGTTTGGTCAGTAATTGTGCATCAACTTTTTCTCTGTTTTTGTGTGAGGCTTGGTTTGTTCCAAGTGTGAAATTAAACGATCATGTAGGAGGGAAGTGGAACAAGTTTTGTAGTTGAAAACTGATATTAAGTCCTTCTATTTTTCCCTTACTCTTTGTTTCGGCATGGATTTTTGAATCAAAAATAAAACAAGAAGAATTGTAAGAAATAAAAGCTAAGAAAAAGAAGAAAATCAATTGGAAGCACATATCAAGGGTGACAGAGAGCAGATCGAGAGAGAGAAGACGACGGAGAGAAGAAAATCAAGCCATGAACTGATATTATAAGTCTTCTATTTGCATGGCCATTGCCGAGTATATATATGTGAAAGATTTCATTGATTTTATAACGTGAAGATTTTGTTTAAGGGTTGTTTTTTAACCAAGCAAATACGGGAGAGGTGGTGGCGGTTCTTGGTTGGAAGTTCCTGCAAAACTAATGCGAAATGGCTTCATCACCCGAGACTTCTCCATCACAAGATTCCCCACCATCTTCTTCTTCATCGAATTCCACACAAGGTAGCTCACCATCATCACCATCGAATTCCACCTCACCTTCGTCACCACCACCACACCACCCCCCAAAGCTCATCACCACCACCACCGCCCACCCAAAAGCTCATCGCCACCGCACCACACCCAAAGTCTCATCACCACCGCCACCAACACCCAAAAGCTCATCGCCACCGCCACCAACCCCAAAGTCCCATCACCACCGCCACCAACACCCAAAATCTCATCACCACCTCCACCGAAACAATTGTCACCCCCTCCACCAGCGTCTATTAGTAAAAATAATACTAAAAGTCCTCCTCCATTCAACCCTCCTCCGCTTCCGCCACCTTCTTTGTCTCCTCTTCCTCCTCCGCCTGTTCAAAATGTTAGTGACTACTCTCCTCCCCCACCTCCTCCAAAAAGTGGCAGTACCAAGTCCAACTCTTACGATTCACCATCGACGAGTGAGTCAAATGACAACTCGAATACAAACCTCATTGTGGGTATATCTGTGGCGGTAGGAGTATTTCTCTTTATTTTTGCCGTCGTTGTAGCGGTTGCTGTTGGAGAAAGAAGAAGAAAAGAAACCCCCAAATGCAGTACTATGGTGAACCTAAAGGTGAATCTAGATTTAATATCAATTTTTATGATTTAAGGAACTGATAAAGTTTGCATGACTCATGAGTTAGTTCTACTATGCAGCTGGTGGCGGTGATCCATATTATAACAGCACGATGCAACGTCCATGGGGAGATCACGGTGGCAAAGCTACCCCACCACATGGTGGTGGTGTTGCTAGTGGTGCATGGAGTACACCATCTCCGGTTCCACCTCCTGGTGCTGGTGGAGGATGGGGTTCACCATATCCAATCACAGCACAAATGATGAGCAGTGAAGTAAGCTCCCTGGCAGGCGCACAACATATTCCTTTGCCTCCTCCATCACCAAATATGCCTCTTGGAATAAATACTGAAACTTTCACTTATGAGGAGCTTTCAGCTGCTACTGGCGGATTTTCTGAGGCCAATCTGCTCGGCCAAGGCGGGTTCGGGTTTGTGCACAAAGGTGTGTTACCAAGTGGAAAGGAGATTGCAGTTAAGAGTTTAAAAACTGGTAGTGGGCAAGGCGAAAGAGAATTCCAGGCCGAGGTAGAAATAATCAGTCGCGTCCATCATCGCTACCTCGTGTCCCTAGTCGGATATTGCATGGGAAGACATCAAAGGATGCTGGTGTATGAGTTTCTTCCAAATAAAACCTTGGAATATCACCTCCATGGTAAATTCAATTTTGTACGATTCATTCATCCTTATGCATAAACCCAAAACTCTCCCTAGGTTTGATAAAATAATCACTTTTAATCTTTATTTTTAACATTTTAACCTCTAACATTATATTTTGAGGTAAAATCATCTAATTAGATGAAAATCATTTGTTAATTAACTATAAATATATGTTACTAACATGAAACTGACATGTATCTAAAGTGATAATATAACACATAATACGTGTCAAAAGTGATGATGTGGTACATGACATATATCGAAAGTAGTGACGAAACAATCTCACGTCAACAAGTGTTGTCGTTAGTTAATTAACAGTTTCTATCTAACCAGAATTCATTATGCCCCAAATGAAACGTTGGGGTTATTTTAGATTATGCCTATTTATCTTTGTTAAAAGCTAACGAACTCCCCCTAATGGCAGGACCTGATCGCCCGGTTATGGATTTTTTTACTAGACTTCGAATAGCATTAGGTTCTGCTAAAGGGCTTGCTTATCTTCATGAAGATTGTGAGAAATCTAAAGTCTCCCTCTCATCTTTTTTATCATTTTCCATTCAAACTTTCTCCATGACTCCTCATTTCTCGTTTGGATTTATACATGCAGGCCATCCTCGCATTATTCATCGTGATATTAAATCAGCTAATATTCTGCTTGACTACAACTTTGAAGCCAAGGTATCATCTATTATAATTGAACTGTAGTTTTAGTACACATTCCCTCACCGGTTCACATTTTTGTTGTAGGTGGCTGATTTTGGATTAGCTAAGTTGTCTGAAGATAACCACACCCATGTCTCAACTCGTGTGATGGGAACATTCGGGTAACACTGAAAAGTAGACAAATGTATAGTTTGCTTAAAGAAATTTGAGACCAAACGGCTTATCATACACTTTTTTTTAATATAGGTATTTGGCTCCGGAATATGCATCGAGCGGCAAGCTAACAGAAAAATCCGATGTTTACTCATTTGGGGTCATGTTATTAGAACTCATAACCGGAAAGCAACCTGTGGATTCAAGCAATGCAATGGAGGACAGCTTAGTAGATTGGGTATGTAAATTTGGTGCATTAGTTGCCAAATAAGATTCATTAACCAGTATGAGAAAATTACACAGAGAATAGTGTGTTACCGTTAGAGTTATTCTTTGAAAACAGGCTCGACCACACTTGACTCAAGGGCTCGAGGATGGCGACCTAGGTCCGCTGGTTGATCCACGTTTGGAACAACTACAACCATGAAGGGATGAAACGCATGATAGCCTGTGCTGCTGCCAGCATCAGACATTCGGCTCGAAAGCGCCCCAAAATGAGTCAGGTTTGCAATGATCCCCCCTAACTCCTTTCTTTCTCCTGTTAATTTCCCTGAACTTTTAATTATAGGTGTATTTTTTCTTGGAGCATTTTGATGTTGGACATTTTATTTTATTTTATAAAAAGGTCCTTCCTAAATAGTATTCCTTCCGTCATAATTTGTGTCTTATATTGACTATACACAGTTTTAGGAAATATATTTAACAAGAGAATGACAATTATCACTACATAGTGATTGATGATGGAGGATTTGATAGATGTAAAGGAGTTTGACATATAAGGGTAAAAAAGAAATATAAATGTTGTTTGTTGACTTTTCTAATAGGGTATTTTCAATGAGACAATTTTAAAAACCAAAAGAGACATATGGTGGGACGAAACGAGTATTTTTGTCTTAAAATGAAATGTTGGTGGGTCAAATTGCTCTAAAAAAAGAATAAGGGCTAAATTGACTAGTTAGTCAAAAATTAGAGATCTCTTTACCTTCAAGTGAAATGTTGACCGACTAAAATACTCCCCAAAAAAATAAAGACCAAAGTGAAGTGGCATATGTAAGTGTTGTCCAAGGTGGACATGTGTCCACCTTAAAATTTGAAATTTTATGTTAATTGTTCATTCTATGGGTGATGTCCATCCTAAATTTTATTTGTGACCACCTCATAAAAAAATTCTATTGTTAATATATATGTTCAGCCCAAAATATTTTTAGATCCATCAATACTAAAGTGATTATTTAATCAAACATTATGAGTGTTTTTTTTACATAATAGCTGATTTATACTTGTGAAATGGTTTTGGATTTTTGGATTGGAATCAAAATTAACCGGCCTCTTTGTTACAATGATATTATATGTTATAATTAATGTATTGTGGAAGCAGATTGTTCGAACCTAGAAGGAAACTCTTCATTGGATGACCTGAACGAGGGTGTAAAGCCAGGCTATAGCACAGTGTATTCTTCTTATGGAGACCACAGATTACAGCAAAAGTTCATACGAAGCTGACATGAAGAAGTTCAGAGAATTAGCATTATCAAGCCAAGATACGAATGAGAGCACCACTTACCAATAGAGAGAGTTAAACCCAAGCGCGCTGCTCAAGAGGGATATGCGCTTTATCGCCTTTTATAAAGCACAACACCGATCCTTTAGATTAATAACATAGTGGGTTGGATCAAATACTATTTCCAGCTCGGTTATATCGATCTGGGACCATTGTTTGTTTATCAAGTGTTTTTCTTTTCTTTTGTATTGAAAGATTAAAAAAAACAATCATTTTTCACATGATATTTTGGTTTAGTATAATAAAAATGGCTCCATGAGAATTTCCTTTCGATTATATGTAATCTGATAAACTATTAATCATCTCTGATTCGAAAATGATTTATTGATATGATAAAGAGAATCCAAGATAATTACTATTGTGACTTAATTGCCACTAAAATATAAGAAGACTATTTTTTTAAGAAAATATATAAATTTATTAGAAAATAAAAAAAATTGGTCATGTATATATTAACTGTATTCAATAGGTAAAGAAATGATAATATGTCACGTTAAAAAAATTATATTTAATGTGATAAGTTAAAAATAATTGTATAAAAATTGACACATACTAAGTAAATTAGTTTTTTCTTGAATATTCTTTTTTTTTACTTTTTTTTATTTTGATCTTCTATAATGTTAGCATAGAGAAGATTATAAAAAATCTGACATGTAAATTAAGACGTGTTTTAAAATTATATTTCTAAAAAGTGTTTGTAAGTTCTAATGTGACACACGTTTATCAAAAGAATATTATTTTGATCAATAATAATATTAAAATATTACATTTAGATAAAAGTTAAAATTTATTATTTTAATAAATTAACGTTAATAATGTGATATTTTAAAATCCTATCACATGAAATACTATTGAAGTATTATATCACAGAATAGACTAAAAGTGAGAGAAGTTAATAAGTTCAAAATTAATGTTGATAAAAAAATTAGGGATTAAACTGAAAAACTGTTACAATTTTGTTGACTAAAAGTTATTTTATCCTAATAAAACTATTTAGTGAATGCTTCTTACAATTTAAGGTAAACTACATGTTTAGTACCCTAACTATAATTTCTGTTATAGTTTAATCATTCAACTATTTTTTTCAATTCATACCTATGTTATGTTTTGGTTTTATTTTGATCACCCTCTATTAAAAAATTAACAGAACTGCTAAGTGGCAAAGTTTTTTTTTTTAATGATCATGTGTCATTACCTGGTAATATGTCTTTTCAACACTGGGTGATGTAAATGAAGTCAAAAGCGTAACATTAGGCCCGATTTTGATATAAAAAATAGTTAGGTACCCCAAATAGAAAAAAGTGATAGTTGGGTACTAAACTTGTAGTTTATCCTATCATTTATATATCTAACAATTAACAACAAAGTCTCCTCTGATCTTTCTTCAACAATATTCGGGTAAAAGGAAAATCTGGGATGATACAAGGGCTGTTTTATTAACAATCAAGCAAATTAGTTATATCGGAAAAGATTTAGAAAATGGACGATGAAATTACAAAATGAGATATCCTGGTGTTGCCAAAAGGAGTAGAAACTAGCAGAAGTAAAAGGATTTTACTCTAACCAAACTCAAAACTATGCTTTTCTTGGCTAAAAAATTGAAAAAGCAACACAAAATTTGGAAAAGGGATTGGCTAAATACGCAAAGTAGTAGATGTTTTAAAACAAAATCATTTAAAAAGGATAAATACTAACCATCCAGTCATAAACTTTTTGGAAGCCCAGCTACGGATGACTTTGTAGAATGCCTGCAAAGATGAACAAAAACCAACTTCAAACATCTTAAATTAACTTAACTTCAACTCCGAAAATTTCTCATCAAACTTGTGATTTATTAAATTTGTAGCAGAACCTAACATTCATGGGAATCTCCTAAAAATTTTCAATTGCCAATCATATTACTTTGCTTACATCAAAGGTCAAGTAAAGATTCTGAACCATAGAAAAAGTATACTTCAACGAAATTCAAGAGATCAAACAAGAAAACAAGTGAAACAACTTCTTCTTCATTAACAGAACTTGAATTCAACATATATACCGAAAATTCTCTTGATCTAATTAAAGCATTCAAGAAAACAAACAAGTAGAAGAAATTATAATATAAAAAAAATGAAGAAAAAAAACCCGGAATACCTCTTTGCTAGAAGAATGAGAAATCGAAGCCACTGAAAAACTCCCGTTTTCAGAGTTATTTACAAATGATATTGGAATCAAATTCATTTGCTCTTCCCTCGTCTCCATTTCTGCTTTCAGTTAAGGGTTAACAAACAACCCAGGAGGAGGTTGCCCGCTCTTTTAAGCAACGAACTCAATCAAGCCTGGGATTTTCTTTTTGAATTTTAGTGGGCCTCTTAGAGCCCATAAATGTCATTTTCATGCGTAGTGTCGGAAGGAACCCAGCCTGTCATGCTACACGTGTGTACATTTATTGAAAAAACACACGTATGACAATGAGTTAAGTTATACAAAATAACCTCAGATACCGAAAATGCTTTATAATATACTATTTTAACAAAAAAAAAATTTGGATTTGTCAAATTGATCAACAAATTCGCAATGCGATCTCAAATTTCGCAACTCAGGTTCCAAATTCGCAACGCGATACTCCAAAATCGCAATGCATTTGTTTCTTAAGAATTTTCTCTAAAAATATAGTATCCGCGTGGACGTGTCGAAGACACGTATGATCACGACCACGACGGGACGGACGGAGGCGGCGGTGCGCGAGAGTCCCCCTTGTTCTCTTTCACTCAACAAGGAAGTAGGAAATCCAAGCCTTAAATACCCATTCCCAATAGTGTTTCCAATACTATGTGGGATTGAGTATTATCAACACTTGTTTCCAATGCTAAGTTGAAACATTTAACATTAGGAAGTTGGAACACATTTAACTAAGTGAACATCCTTTCGGTGGCCAAGATAATTAAGTTGGAACACATTTAATCAATGCTTGAGAAGGTAATGTACTTGGCGAAAGTTGAGTTAAGAGAAGATAAAAGAGATGATGTGAAGTAAGAGTAAGCACTTCGTCGTGTTCCCCAGACGGTGTCGCCATCACACTATGTAGCGAACACAAAAGACATTTGATTAACCCCAATGTGTTGTGTACATCCCGGCACGTAATAATGGAATAGGATCTTATGTTAAAAACAAATATCACTTAAATATTGCAAAACAAATCAAGTTTTCCCAACTCGATTACAAATATCACTTAATTATCTTGGCCACCTAAAGGATGTTCTTGGTTAAATCTGTTCCAACTTCCAAATGTTAAATGTTAAATGTTTCAACTTAGCATTGGAAACAAGTTTGGTAATACTCAATCCCACATAGTATTAGAAACACTATTGGAAATGAGTATTTAAGGCTTGGATTTCCCACTTCCTTGTTGAGTGAAAGAGAACAAGGGGGACTCTCGCGCACCGCCGCCGCCGTCCGTCCCGTTGTGGTCGTGGTAATACGTGTCTTTGACACGTCCGCGGATACTATCTTTTTATAAAATTCTTAAGAAACAAATGCATTGCGATTTTAGAGTATCGCGTTGCGAATTTGGAACTTGGGTTGTGAATTTGTTGGTCATTTGGCAAATCAAAAAAAAGTTGGTTAAAATCGTATATAAGGCATTTTCGGTCACTGAGGTTATTTTCTTCGCTATTTTTAGTTTTATTATTTGAATTATATAAATTTTAAATCTATTAAATATCATAATAATAATAATCATGGATGGACTAGGCTAGGGAGGGAGGGCGGGCGGGTGGGGTGGTTGTCCCTTAAAAATATAAAATTATCATATATTTTAGATTTTTTATGTGTTTTTTATTAAAATATGTTTTCGCCCCCTAAAATTTTATAAGTTCAAGTTTACC